CAAGCAAACGTCGCTGGGCCATTTGACTGTCAGTGAAGTCAACACAGGGCAATAACCACAGTATGACCTAGTATTTTGCACCCTGCCTACCAGAATTGTATCTTAGGTAAACTAGTGAATCTGGCCCTAACAGCTCCCAAGAGAATTTGGGCCTGACGACCGCGAAACCGATGTTAGAAACGTACGGGTAACAACCGCGATAGCAAACAACCGCACATGAAGATCACGTGTTCAGGTCACCCAAAATAGACGCGACTAACAAAACAAGTCAGAACAAATTTGCAAGCATGCAAACGCGTGCGTTTGTCACTTCTGACCAAGTGTTTCGACAAGTTGAACCATGTTACATGCTTTTAACGAGTTATTACTGACAAATGATTGGCTTCCTGGAACGATAAAGCCTTAAAAATACATCACTTAGAGCACTTTAGATAGAATTTGAGATAGCATCTCCTCACTAAGGTTTCTTTGTTACTATTACATTTTACACGTTTCCTAGCATCACGATCATCTCCTCCAATCACTAAATAGTACCTGACGATTATGTGTCTGTTAAATCCGTTTACTTATTATGCTCACGGCAACGTCTGTTGCGACAAGAACAGGGACTTCAGTCTGTGACAGGCATACTCCCTGTCTTCCAAAGCCAAAGAACACGCTCGGTTGCATAACAGACAAAGCTGTCTTCACAAACGAGCCCGATCTCATGTATCTATATTAAGCACGGTACGTTTGTTCGGATACCACCTACGAGAGAAGCAAACCACCACCATTGTTGAACTTGGGGACACCGTTCCCACACGAACTATGCCGGAACCTGCGCAACCAAATTCGGTGGCTAAAGAGTCACCTGCATCACTCCAGGAGGTACCATACTTCTGAGGGGGCAAGTGTCAGTAGGCCCACTGAAGTAGTTGAAACTATTTCAAGAGAAAACGATCCCACAGTCTCGCTTTTGGTTCGTTCCTCCTCAAAACATAAGGATAACCGAACTGCTGAGCTTACCAGGACCATTCAATACCTAAAAACTCCCATTCTAGTCCTTTATTGATTTCAGACAGGCTAAAATTGTACACTGGGTATCGTGCAACGCTGAGTCTTTAGAATTGTGGCAAAAAATAAGCACAGGTCCTGTGCTTTTGAAATCCAAAACAAACAGAAGAGCGTGTCTAAGCAACTGAGAACTGAGTCGAGGCCTGAAGACAACGTTTATGAGATAATTAGGTCAAAACGACAAACTGAGGATTCGTTGGCTAATCTGCAGTTTGAACAACAAATGCTTAATTCATAATTTCAAAAAACTGAGCAAGGAGGGCCTGTTTAGCTTAGATTCGCATAATCGCACAAAACAAGTACTCACAATCTTTTCTTGACGCAACATCAAGTGAGGTTTTCTAAAACAGTTCCACAGCTTACTGTCTATTTCGCCTTTCTTCGGACTCACTAGGTGCGCGCACTCCCAGTTTTCACCATTCATAACTCCTGCTTGAACACTGAATTATACGTAAATGGGGGTATACACCCGTTCACAAATCAACTCATATGAATATCAGCTGAGTCTCTCGCTTTTAACATTTTTCAACTGGATGTGCTGCGTAAAAGCTGACTTGTGATTCCGTTGCAACGATATTCAAGATATTCAGTCGTTTTAAAGAGCATACCTGCTACATTCCCTGTCCAACAGCGCCGGATGCAACGATGTCCACTGGCAAAGTCTGGTACAGAAGGATTTGCTGAGTTGTTGTAGCAAGAATACTGACCAGGGCAGTGGATTACTTGTGGTGTCTGAGTTGTACTGGAATAGAACAAGAAGCAGTAAGATTACAATGGGCACATCCCATGTCATGACCAATATGCACAAACAATAATCTGTTACGGTGGATTTGTGGATAATGGTTCGATCGGAGTGTGGGTCAACTATATCAGTTGTCAGTAGTGGGAGGAAATACAACCTAAGTCTCAAGGTGGCTCCTGAATAGGCACACTGAAAACCAAAGCAAAGAAGTATGGGCAATGCACACTATGAATCCGAAACTGCGCAACATAAGATGTCAAAGTGATTGCTGGCCTGACTGACTTGCACCATTTAGCCAATAGAGTTAACAGATAAATGAGCTACTCAAACCGAGAGGGGAGCTTGAAAGGAAGCACAGCTCCAAAGTCTACCAACCAGCACAACGCTGATGATATTGTGTTCCACAGAAAACGGCAGAGGTTGATTCCGAAAAAAGGACGATAGTTCTTGGGCGCCTCGGTAAAAAGCTCATATTAAGCGGAAACGAAATTCGGTTGTGAAAAGTCGAACAGGACGTCCTGAGAATTTGGTGTCAGTAATCAGTGGCAAAAAAAGTGAGACAATAATTTTTTTAAAAACAATTATGACAGAACCTCAAGTGCTCGGTGGAGAACTTGGAGCCTCGGTAAAAATTTGGAACAAGCAACGAGAACAAACGGCATTCTGAAAAGTTTTTATGGTCTCGTATAGTTCCATAGCATCCGTACCACTAACTACTATCGTCTGTCAAGCAAATCTCCACAAATATTTTTGGAAATCCTAGCAAGTATCGAACCAAGCGAGAATAACCAAATAACATGGAACTGGATATGGGAGCAGGCGTGAAAAAGGAAATCCCTATTGTGTATCCGTTAGAGGTATGATTCAGATTCCACAAACCGGAAGGGAATTGGGGGATAAATACTTAACAAAATGAAAAGAAATGCAGAACACGGTTAGAAATATCTTGTACGTGAAAATGGAGCGTTCAGGTTTAGTTAACTGACTCTACCAGAGTTGGACACTAATATTAAAACGATCTTCCTTTGTATGTCCTATCTGGTTTGTTGTTCACGGGAGTGATGGTAGCTCAGGTTGTATGGATAGCTTCTGTTGTATTTCCTGAGCTGAGCAATTCGACTGCGACCAGCACTTGTGACCAAACTGCTTAGCTCAGCGAAGAGAGCAGCAATCACAAATCTGATTTCCATCGTCTTACGGTCAACGCCTCTGACACCAGGTAACTTCTGGCGGAAATGCATCCAGTGCTCCAGCCGAGACTCAAATGTTGCTACTGTTACTGTTCTCAACAGTAAACGTCCTAATAGCTGCCTTTCTGTTCTGTCAATGTACGTGTTTGGATATGTGAATGTCGTCTGAGGGGATCCGAACAGGAAAACTACCACTTACCATACGAAAAAGACGTTCATGCCTTCTTGGATGTTCAGGTATATGAAAGGTTCGTCAGAAAATACTCTCATGACGGTTATGGACTCTGGATGAAACGTCATCACCTTTACGCAAAAGATGAGTGTAGGCATTTTCACAGGACTGTGCCGATTTGAGACTCCGAAGAGGGCACGGCCGAATACCCCTTCGAAAAGCAAGCCTAGCAAGACTAGCCTTGGGTAGCCAAAACAATAGACAACGACATTCCTAAATCTCAAGCGTTTGACAAAGATGGTGATAGCTGTTCTAGTGAGCTTCCGGGATTGAGAAGTTGTAGTGACCATTAGTGGATATTCACCGTTGAATACGCGTGAAGCTGAGGGTTAAATCTGCACCACAGTTGATGAAGAAAATAGTATTTGTGACTTAACAAGGGTGAAAAATCAATTCCAAAGATTCTGAAAACGTGGAACAACGCCATTGCAGTGGTTTGGTATGGGTACATAAGTGCTTGTATAATGATCTACGAGATATAGGAAATCATGGGTGCAACAAGCTATTGACTAATCCAGATGGCTACCTAGCTACTGTTGAACAGTCCGGTCAGCGCACGCGATTTACTGAGGTGACTGCCCGAAACTGTCATTCAAGGAGACATTCGTCCAATTCCAACATCCACCTGGTGAGACTCAACAAAGACCAAAGAGTTCACGGGACGAGTTTTTCGGGATAAGGCCACATTTTTGTTTTGATCGTGGGTAATATGGTGAAATAGTCCACTACCAATCCTGTAATTAAGTCATACCAGTGTTGGGATTCTGCCCGTATGTGGTCATGGAGCTCCTTAAATTTTGAGCGCAAGCTAGGACGCAAAATTTCAAAAAGACAGGCAATACAGAGATAACCAGTACATCCGGCTGGTTTGCGCACGCAACCATTATGTTCATTCTACATAGCCACCACGCCTCCATCAGATTTAAACTTCGGAAAAGGCAGTAAAACAATACTAGACAAATCTTGGACATTTAGTAATTCACCGACAGAAACCAAACCTTCCTTTTGTTGTAAATAAGCCGAATTGCGGCTACGAAAAAGTTTAACAAACAACTAGCTCAACAGGCTGGTCTTTGCGACAGCAACCGGAAATGCACAGTCAGAATATCACCCTTGTTTGACAACGTTGCTTGGCTTAATCTGATACTGGTTGTCTACGTTTACAAAACGTGAACCGTGTTTCGTTAGACCGATCCTCTCATAAAGCAAGCTAGAATCATTTGATTCATGTAACCAAATAGTGAAAATTGTGTGTGGATTCAAGTAATCGGGAGGGCGTCAGTTGTCAGCCAACAGTTGTCAGCACCTGTACTACCCAGAAAGCAAAAAACAGTAAATTACTCTCAGTAGAAAGGCTGATCAAGCCCATAAGGCTTGTAAACTGAAACGATGCCCCCTACAAGTTCGACAGCATCCAGAGCGAAATTCGCCCACTTCTATGAACCAACATCATCTCCTTCAGCTGTAAAAACCTCTTCCCTGCAGTAGTGATTATAGCTGTCACTACTGCCGATGACCTGACAAAGAAAGGGTAGATAGCTATACGCTGGGTGAAATAGCTAATATGACTGATGCGCGAATACAGGGGTTTCAGTGGACTTTCACCGGGAAGATCGGGAGGGGAAGTTATGCACTGAAGACAACAGCTTGGATTCATGCTCACCAATGAGCGCGAGACTAGGCCATGCTTACCAATGTCTTTGACCATTCGTGTGCCCCGTCCCGGAGTCCCTATCCATGAAAACGTCATTGGCGGCCGATGAGTTTGCCAGTATCGGCTCTCGTGCATCGCTGTCAAGTCATGGTTTGACCTCCTCTAGCTTGTTTGCACCCTTTGCACGGTTGTGCAGAAAGGATTCTCTGAAGAAGTCCGTGAACTGACATACGGAGCATGTGACCAACCAGTGCAACCTATGGAATATGAACAGCTCATCTACTGTGGTCGAGTTAGTTCTTCTGAGAACCATTCGGCCCACTGAAGTGTTACTGATCCTATCTTTCCACCAGACTAGGAGGATGCTCCGAAGGCACCGACAGTTAAACCCTGAAAGTCTTTTAAGATCAACGCGAAGCAGCCAGGTCACTGGACTATACAACAATATAGAGGGCATCACAGCATTGTAAGCTCGACTCTTGACAAAACAAATGTCACATCTGTGCCACAGATGATGGGAGTTCGAAAAGGCTGCTATAGCCTTCCAAATCCGAATGGACCACTGCGTCGGATACAGCTTCCAAGGGAGATGAATTGTTTACTACCTAAATTAAATCATTCACAAGCATGAAGCTAGAATTCGAGCCAACCAGTCTTTCAGTAGCACTCTAACGTTGCAGGTGTGAAGCGCATACCGAACGTTGGGGCAGAGTTATGCAGATTAGTTAATATCGCCCTGACTACCACAACATTAGCCCCAAAAGCGATATCATTCACGTAATCAATATCCATGAGCGAACATCACTGGAACACTTCGAACCCAGAGGCACTTAAGCTTTGGAGTCTTCCATGGTCACATCAGCGACAAAATTGAAGACGGGAGGTGAGAGGACAGGATGCCTCACTATTTAATGTAATGAACTCAGGCGAGGGCTTCTTGCGAACCCCCAGACGTCTGTGAGAATTGGTGTACACCACCTTGAGGGTTAAGAATTTGTCGGGTACACTTTTGTTCTACAGAGACTGTCATGGTGCCTGACGTTTAACAAAACCAAAGGGAATTTCCAAGTCAAGAAAGATCATCACTGCTGCCTGCTGGGAGCAGTCGCTGTTCCAGAGTCCATCACGGAATTTAAAAAAATGGGATTACTGCATTCTCTCGCAGAATGGAACCCAGTTTGGTTTTCACCACGCAGGTTTCAGTGTGCACCTACGCTTTTTGAAGGCATGAATGACTGTCGATATGCCTTTCTCTGCATGCGAATTCTCATCACCATGACCTCCGCATCTCGATTTCATCTGTCTAGGCTTGGGCGACCTGGCAATATCCCAGCCCTCGTGGCTGCTTTTGCTGACATAGTACCGAAAGGGTGCTACAGATGAACGAAGATGCTGCATTGGCATGCTTCTTGCTGACTTGCGAGGGTATGATGGTTTGAACGGAATAAAGTGCTTCAAAAGGAACAAAAGCCTTGAACTATTGCTCCCCAACGATGGTTAATAGCCACGTGATCCCATTGGGTCCACGGTTGATTTGTAAGTTGGTGACCACTAGGTTACGCGATGCGAGCGGTTGTTGCTAGTTCGCATTGGCCGGCACACAACCGGAGGGATCGCTTTCTGAAGCCCGTGCGTCCAGTGTCGACTCGCTCGGATGAGATTGGAATGAGCTCAGAAGGCCGGCACGGGCATTCAGATCGCCCGAATAAACCTCGAAAAGAAAGTATGCTTCTCAATGTCGGGTAGCACTGGATTGATTGAGCTGGACAATCAGACACTGCAAAGACGACTGTTCACTGGAATCCAGTCCAGTAAAGCGCGTTCAGCTCTGGAGCTGAGTGCGACTCCCACGTCACATATTTCACGAGTCATTGCTTCTGGGTAACCGGGCAGAAGGAAATAGGAATGTGAAATAGCTGAGTTC